CCGCCCGAGGGGGGAAAGAAGCCGCTCAGGGCGGAGGGGCGGGTTCGAAGGGCCGCTGAAGAACTCCCAGCTGGAGAAGCCCGAGGGGGGCTCGGGGAAACGAGGGGAAAGAGAAGCCATCCGTTCAGATCGTCGTCACCTCAGCCCCCCGTTGTCGTCTGAATTAACCTACACCTCACTCGTTCCCTTTCTTTGTCGGCTTTGGGGGGAGGGGGAGGGAAACGGGCGGAAAAAAAACGGGACTTCGCTGATACAATGGGGAATTCCCTGTTGTGAGGGAATTGATCAATCTGTGTAAGGCTGGTACTCGACGTAAAACCCTAATAACGAGATGGTAGTGTAAGGCGTACGAGTCTCCCGAAATCAATAAAAGCAAGATACTAAATAGATCTATATATATATATATATATATATATATATATTATATATGGATATGGATCGGCGGTCCGTAACACTTTGGTGGAGGATGTATCGGTCGTAGACCCGCGTGTAGATGAGTGTGATTTGGAGAATATTTAATAAATTTGGTAAAAAAAATATCGATTCCTGTAACTCAGTTAGAATTAAACTTGTTAATTATGCACATAAATGAATGAGCGAGACCTTTGAGAGATACTAAAGAAAAAACGGGATTCAAAAGGAAGAGTTAACAAGATTAAGGTCAGAATCAACTTCCCATAGATAAGTAATTTAAGAAATATGTTGCTATAAATCAGCATACACCATGAAAGTATGAAAGTCTTGGGAAGCATATTGTTTCGCATTGTTTTACCAGTTATTTACTTCTTCGTAAAGATCAGTAAATGTAGAAAAATACAAAACTATACGTGTATTATGACCTCTATTCAACGTTGTACTTTTGAAGATAAGAATATGAAAAGAATACCAAAAATTTTACCCGCTAAGAGGGAATTCAGCTAAGCATGCCATTTGTCGGAAAAAGGTAAAAATTTGTTGGTGATAAATCTAAATCACCCTTTCTTGTAGAAAAATAATGGAAAATAATGCTATACAAGCAATAAACTACAGAAATAAATCAATCCAAGTAAAATAAAGTGTTTCTTAACACCACTACCGGTATGGCCATATAGGCATTTCACGAGGAGAGGTCAGTACCCTTGACTATGAACCTGTAGAAAGAAGGAAAGATATAAAGTTTGGGAAGAAAGTAAACCCAGTGAAGGTAGTTTTCTCCACAAAGTTTAATTAATATCATAGCTTCCCCTTGAAGATCTTCAAACTAGGTCAGTTTAATATGTAATCGACTATTCTTTAATAGGGAGATGGAAAAGATAATGATAATAACGTGATATTACTTCTATGAGCATCCTGACGGCATTCATTAAATGAGGATGATAAAGCAACGAAATGCTTTATATTAAAATATTGCTTTCTCTAAAGCCTTTATGACAAGCTGGGATGATAAAGGTGAGATTAATTTATTAATAATAAAATCCTAAGCATGTGTGAGTTAATGAAAATGGCGATACAAATAGACACATGATGCGAAGTCCTTCACCTGTTCATCCTCTGTAATTGCGAAAGATGAATAAATGGTGAAGAGGATTGAGCAGGTTGGAGTAATATATATATATATACATATATTTATATGTTAGTGTAACAAATACAATATCATCACTTGTAGAATTGAAAAAATCACGTCTATTGAGAGTTGGAATATAAAAATAAAAAAGAGAGATAAAGAAAGTCAAGAATACATTTGAAGAAGATTTGTGGCCTCAGTACTGAACTTCATCAAAACTCAGCAATACATAGGGAAAAAATAATCCATTTAGCTGCATAATTCAATGAAAAATGATAGAAATGTTGCTGCATTGTAAAAAATGGAGATTAATAAATAAAATTTGAAATCTAAATTCTTTTGATAAGTATCATCTCTGTCGGGAAGGTCAGGATAATAAATAAGGATTCAGATACAAATTAAATAGAAATAATAAAATAAACTTTACGCCTGTGAATGTCAACTAGAAATATGGTTATGGGAATGCAACTTAAAGCGCTATCACATCCAGAACAAGGTAAAATAAAGAGATCAATAAGATAAACTCAGGAAAAACATAAACATATAATCCTTTCTAATGACCCACAATACAAAAAAAATGTAGAACAGACATGTCACCCATTTAATAGAGATTAACCGAGTTGAAGTTTTGAAAGACGTAAAATGGCGATTGATGGTATTGGTATCCCTCTTTACAGTGCTTTTACGCTCTGAAGATGATAAAAAAAGACTTAGTAAACAATATTATAGCAAAATTGTATTTTAAAGGTCATCCGTCAAGAAGAAGATATCATGAAATAAAAGTCGTTTTCCCTGCATTTTCCTAAGACATACTTTATCATCGACTTTGGCCAATATGTACTGGCCAAAGAAAATGATCCCATACCAAAATTTGCATTCAAATGAATCGTCGCCCCTCGGAAGGGGTGGCAAAATGAGGGATATGTCGTGAATAAGGCATAGGTTAAAAACATCTCAAAATAAAATGAAAATAATGTGGAGGAATAGCTACTCGCACACTTTAAAGGACATAAATATATGTGTCGTCTATTTCTCTCTTACTCTTCCTCTTCTTATCAGTAGGGTGGAACCTTTTTATACATATATATATATATATGCTACACACAACAGAATATTAGCCTACATACTGCAACTAATAAAGTGAATTTGCTTGTATGTAGTTCATCACTTTTTTTGTTTTCCGATATGAAATATTATTTATACTTGAATACTCACATAAAGGAAATAAAAAGAAATAATTTAAAATAACATACATATTCTAGAATTATCCCTAAGCCCAGTTTTTTTATTATTATTTAAAAAATATATAAATCTCTCTCTCTCTATATATATAGATATATATTTGAAAATTCTATCTCTTCTTCTTCAACACATATACATAGTCAAGAAGTTTATTCCCTATATATATATATCCTTTCTTTCTGCTATGGTGATATCACATCTCATATTTTCGCCAATCCATCAAAGACAACACATTTTCTTTTTACTAGGACGTAGCCTCGCATTGTATCGATCTCGGACACCTTTTTCACGCTCTCAGCATCTTCCAGAATGGTCTCCAGCCCCCATTCAGGTTCTTTTACTTTAAAGTCCTGCACGACAAGCGGCGCACTCGACAAATCCTGCGGCCCTACGAGCTTTACCGCACCCTTAAGCTCCAAACTCAGTACAATTACTTTTCCTTCGATAAGCAGTGTGCTCATAGGGCTAATATGAACAAGCTCTGGGTTAGGAAAGACTTTAGCAAGGTGAGCAAGGGTACCGTCCCCGCGCGCCACCGCGTCCATCGTAATAATAGGGAATATACGGACTGGTATGCACGAGCGCACCATAATTTGAGGCTCCGAAGAGTACGAAAGAGGAACACCGACCGCTTTTAGACGACGACGGGTAAACTCGAAGAAATCTGCCTCGCCAGAGCATAAACAATAGGGATCCATACCCTGCTTTACTTTTCCAATCGCCTCTTCTAGCGAGTTTTTCACCGGTTGGTAAGTAAAACGTGAAAAAACGGTCCCTCCAACGCGATCTTTCGCACCCTCGGAGAATAAAAGCGCGATATCCTGCATCAACGACTCCACACGGCACGGTTTCTTGAACTTTCGACGCGTATCGTCGGTAAATTTGGGGTTGATAAATTCCGGCACTTGCCCTTTTGACGCCTGAAGTCTCTCCGCGTAGATCGGAAGTTTTAGAATAAGGGTGTTGATATTTCCAGGGAAAGGAGAGTATTTGCTGTTCACCGCCGCGTGGTCCCCTTTTTCCTCTGTCAAGGTTCGTGCCACGTCCTCGAAAGCATTGTATTCAATATTAACGGTCTTCCAATTCGTGCTGACCCTACCATCCGCAGCGGGCTCGTTTATTTTCACACGGCACATCAACCCAACCGCCTCCTTCGGTTGCCGAGGAATGCACGTGAAGTTAACATCCAGCAACTCTCGTTCGCTGATCGCGAGGCTGACAGGGATGGTAAACACCGCAGTCGCGTTGGTATCTTGGAAAAAGCAGACGTACCGATAGCCCTTTTTCATCCAAGCCTGGACAATGGGGATGTCATGAGTGGGGTCCGTTGGATCCGGCGCCGTCGCGGCGTAGAGCAGCGAATGCACGTCGCCGTGGCCGTGGGGCTTTCGCAGCAGCCCGCCGTCCGCGCCACGCGCGAGGTGGGCCTCCCCGTCCGCGAAGCAAAACACCGTCTGCTGCTTCAGCAATCGCACATTCGGCATGTCCGGCGCGACGCGCGCGAGCAGCGCCGCCGTCTCGGCGTGGGTCTCCGCCGAGGTCATCACGACCACCGCCGTGCCCGCCCCGCCGAGGACGCGAATCCAGCTGAGGTAATGCCCAAGGTAGGTCGTGGCCGTCGCCGTCTCGACCGGCAGCCCGACCTTCGCGCCGGCGTAGCCGAGCCGCTCGCCGACGCCGCCCGCGACGAGGACGAACGCCGTTCGTGCCACCAACCCCGCGCCCGCGGCCTCGAGCTCGCTGAGAGGCCCCCCGTGTGTGTCCAAACGCGGGGCCGAAAAGAGCAGGGGAGGCTGTGCGAGCGCGAGGTAGCCCCCCGGGCCGCTGGAATCGACCTGCAGAAGAGCCCGCCCCGTACGGATGTACTGCTCGACCCCGCCTGAGTAGTGCGCGGCGAGGCCGTGGAGCTCCCGCAGGAGGGCGAGATGGGCCGCGGTGTAGTCCGTCGGGGAGGACGGCCATCCAGAGAAAAGGTGACCCTGGTCTAGCCCCTCACCCGACAAGCGCTCACGCAGAGCGTGCAACTCCAACAGGGACGCTGAGGTCATGGGGGCAACGTCGCAAGAGCAAGGGTATTGAAGAGGAGGACGTGTCACGGAAGAAGAGGGGGAGGCTAAATTAAGAAACAATACGGATTGCGCCGAATAACCTAAAAGAGGGGAGATGGATGAGGGTTGAGTCGGTTTGTTACAAAAGCGTAATGGTAAGTAAAACACAGAGGCGGAGAAGTGATATATGGATATGCTTCTCTAAGGAAATGGAAAAAAAAACATCTTTCTTTTTTTTTTGAGGGACAGGGGGGGATTGCTTGGTAAAGCTATGGTGTTATGAGGAATGTCGCAGTGCAGAATCTAAAACATGAACCTTAGATTAATGTTTTATGGATATAATTTAAAGCAGATCTATTCGTAAAAGAAGACAAGCACAAAACATCTGTTTATGAGGTTTGCTGATTTCTCAAGAAACTACTATTAAAAGTGTCTGAAAGGTTTGTTTCGCTAGATTTTATGGCATTCACACACTTAAGCATTTTTCCTCAAGGATTGACCTATACAATAACATATTTTTCAATATAACTTGTATGATTGGGGTTCATGAGTGAGGAATCATTCGGCTTTCTATTGCCAAAGAACGCCCAGCACCGGCGATAATCATAGAGTGCACCACACGTCAAACATGAGACATTCTTTCTGATGTTAAGCACTAAACACTTTTCACACTGCCAATGAACAGAAAACCATCGCACGGTATTGCGTTGGATAACACTATTCCCCTTTATGTTTTGGGTGGAAGTCTCTTCAATCGGGACAGGAGCGTAGGCACGCGACCTCTGCAGCTTCAGGGGCGGCGCACCCGTCTCCTGCAGCTCGTAATACCGCAAACAACACTCCAGGGAAAACTCCACGGACGGCGCCGGCAAAGGAAGCAAAGTAAATCCCTCGTCTTCGCTGAAATCCATCATCTCGTGATCATCTCGTGCGATAACGAGGTGAAAATTGCGATTTTGCTGCCGATGCCGCTCTTCGGTAGTAAACTCCTCCATAGAACTCTCCACGACCGCATGTAAGGCGTCAACATTTGGAGGGGGAATCATAACCACCGAGAGGTAATCCTTATCCAAAGCTCCCGTGAAATCTACTTTGAATTCTCGTGGAAAAGTCTCTAGCAAATCCACAGGGGGCTCCGTCATAAACGAACGAAGTCTCTCCGGCAGCAGATCACAACTCGTCGGGGGTAATATGCAGAGCAGCTGCGTGAAAATATTGGACGGGACCTTCTCCAGCTCCGAAAGAGGCCTCACAGTCTGCATTTCATCGCCGTGGGTGGTTAAAAACTTCGCCAAATCAAGCGCGAAGGGCGCATGGTAAAAGGAATAGACTAAAGACCAGCTCACATATCGCATCCCACGGCTGTAATAACGCCAAACAAAACGCATTATTTCGATATATTGCCGGCAGGCTTCCTCCACCCCATCCTTGCCGATGCTTGAGCTTCGGTAATAAACTTCTCGCCAAGACTCATCAACGGCGCTGCCAAGTGGCTCTATCGAAGACTTCGGTATGGATAATTCGGTATTCTGACAAAAAAAACGAAACTTTGCCGTTTCCATCTTCGCATATCCATTAAAAAAACGGCAGAGTTGGGTAAGACAAATCTCTCGATCGTCGAGAGTTAAGTAGCCGTAGGGGAGGACCTCGCCGACGTAGACCTCGATCACGTTATCCAACGCGCCATCATCGCAGAACGCGCTCGGCAGTCGTGGGACAAAATCGTTTCCGACTATCATTGACAAAATGATAAAATCGTCAATTATTTTGCTATTACTGCACGCAAAAAGAGGCTGGGAAGTATTGTCGGGAATGGACACATCCTTCCATTTACTGGCCCTCCCCAAGCGCATCACAAAGCCTTTAGCAAGGCATCGCTGATAAATATCTGATATAAGAGAGCGACTCACGATGTCGATGTCTAAAAATTTCAACTTCGCTCGCGCAGGGGCGGCATCCTTTTTTATCCCAGAGGATTCGGGTGATGAAGGTGAAAAAGATACCCCTGGCAACCTCGCATCGAGATCTTCTCCCTCATCCCCTTCAGGAAGTGGAAAATTGCAGTCTTTTATTTTTTTCTGCTGCAGAAACGTCTTTCGAAACGGCTTTTTTGCGTCATAGCGTAAAATATACAACCGAGCGATGTGCAAAGATAAGCACAAAAAGATAAGATCCGCATCGACCCCAACGACCACATGCACGCCGCCTTTTTCGCCGCAAAATGACGAATCAAGGGCTTTCATGCGCAAAAAATCAAAAATTTTATGCTCCCCCTCGCGGGGGATGTTGGAATCCGAAAAGATGACCGTCAGACTCTTCCAAAAAGGATCCCCCGCGGCGACCTTTTTCACCACATACGCCTTCACCCCCGCGCACAGCGCGTCCATAAAGACCGTCCCGGGGGAAATGGAATTAACATCAAAGCCCATCGCATCCGCCGTATCGCTTTCACTCCCCGTGGGGCCCGCCTCGATGGGCGAAAAGGACGACAAAAGACATCCCGGGGGGCTGCAGGATCCGGCCCCGCCATCCCTCGCCTCATCGGGGGGGAAATTGTACGGTTGGCCGTAGAGCGGATCCGACGAAAGCGCCTCGGCGGCGGTGTTGAGGGCCTCGTTCGCGATCGCGCGCGCCTCGGGGCTGAAGGCCGCCTCGAGGGTGTTCAGGCCCTCCCGATCGACCCCGACAGCCTTGGCGGCGCGCAAATATCGGCGCATTCGCTGCTGTTTGAGCTTCGCCCGCGGGGCCACGCCGTCGACGGCGATGAACATCAGCCGCCTCGGCCGGACTTCGCGGATGATGTCGTCTAAATTCCGACAAATGTTCGAGATTTTCTCCTCCACCGAGCGCAAAGCCACTTTCGGATCGCTCTCGCTATGGCAGTGGGAGTGAATGAAGCCATTAAAATCGATATAAAGCCCATAAACCTCCTCCGGAGGTTTGTGGAAGATGATGGAGGGGTACTTTCCAATCAGCCACTTCGCAAACCCCGGAACCCCCATTATGTAATCGCGTAGGGGTGTGTTTTTTTATTGATATTATTTCGGTTTATTTTCGTTTTTTCGGGAAAAATGTGGAAATAAGATTGAGTTTGTTGAGTTGGTAATCTAATAGGTAGAAAAGTTGATTAAGAACAATTAATGGTGATGAAAATGTTGGATTCGTGGAATAGTAAAAGAGAAGAAAGGGGAAAAAAGGCTCTATAACATATTTGGAACACAGTGAGGAATGCAGACTCCTCATAAACCCAAATAAAGATGCATCGTTAGTTTGTCGGGAAAATGCACTTGATATAAATGCACTACTCACTCAATAGCAAAATTACTAAAGAGCCTCGTATAAAGTTGAAAATGGATCAATGACATATATAAATATATGTTATTGTAATAATAGAACTCTGAACATGTAAGAAAAAAATGATAGGGCGCTGCTCTTAACTATCGCCATCGTCCTGTTCTTCTCCCTTTAAGAAAAGAAAAAAAGAAAAACTGAACTGCTATTTTTGTATAGGGAGAAAAGTAAAACGAGCAGTTGGGCTGTACTGATAGTTTGCATAAGTATATCTCTAAACCAACAAAAAAAAAGAAAAAATCTTGAGAGTGGCAAAGGGTGAGAAAATGGGAGAGAAGGGATAATAAATACAATATTAATAGTTCTGATCTTCCGCTATCTAACTAAGGAAGGATCTGGTGATGAGAGGTTTCTCGACTTCACCTTCTGCCCTTCCAACCACTCCACAATGTTCAAATCGAAATTGGTATTCTGCCCTGGAGAGGTGTTTTTCCCGTTTTTCCCTTTCACTCGCGCGGAGAAACTTCGAATCGCCGCGGGTTCTCTACCAATAATTTTATCTTTTGTCTTTCTATGAGCACCGCCTTTCGTGACGCGCATGGGGAACTGCGCGGGTGGGGAACTCACCCCCCGTTCTCTATCCGCGCTGGGTAATTCTTTGCGCGTCGTCTTTTTTTGTTGGTCTTCAATAAGAAACGGCTTGGAAACGGCCGCGGTGGCGGCTTTTTTCACCCCGCCAAGGCCTTCCCTGTGCGCCTTTTCCCTTGTCTTTTCGTTCAAAGTCTCCGCCGCCCGCTCGGTCGTCTTCGCGACGATCAACGACTCCAACTGGCGGACTTTCCCCATCGCCCCCCGCAGGGCCTGCAGGAGGCTGCGATCCGCCGAACCCCCCGCGGCGAACGCGCGCTCCCCTTCGCGAAATCCCCCCCCGCTCAAGTCCTTCCCATCCACGCTGCTGCTTGGATTATTAAAATTGGGATTCGTACTCTCCATCAGATTCGTCGAGGATGCGAGAAACGGACGGGTCGGGGCGAGTTCCGCGCGTAGACGCCGCATCGCCTCTTTTAAGACGAGCACCGCGCGATTCAGCTGATGCGCCTCCGCCTCCAGGCGATGATGAATGCGGCGCAAAACCGCCTCGCACCTCGCGCGGTGGGCCGTCCGCGTCATCGTAGGGCTATGAAACTGAGGAGGATTGTTCGAAGTCGTCGACGTGGAGGTCGGGGGCTCGCGCGGGGTCGGCCTGGGCCTTCGCAGAAGATCGCGATCGCGGCGCCATTCCGCGCGAAGCCGCTCCAGCCGGGCCTGGCGCTGGCGAAGCTCCGCGCGCCGCCGGCGGAGCGCCCGATCGAGAAAGCGGACGCGTTTTTGGTAAACCCCATCCACCTCGGCGGCCGTCGCGCGCGCGGAATCGACCAAATCGGGGCTCTCCCCCGCCAACGCCGCCGCTTTGCCGGGGCGGAGGGCGGGGGAAGGGGGGAATTCGGGTTGGGGGGTCGCCGGCGCGGGTGTTTTGCGGCCGCCGTCGAGAAAACTCCCCCCCGCGGGCGGGGGCAGGACGCCGCTCGTCAGTGGGCTCGTGAAGAGCGGCTTACGGAACGAACAGGGGCGTTGGAAGGACCAACTTTGGTTGTGCAAGGAGGAATTGGGGTTTTGCAAGGGCGAATGGGAGGTCGGCGAGGAGCGGTGGGAGGTCGGAAAGGGGGAATGGCCGGGGTAGGAATCGAAGGGCGGGCCGGGGCCGGGGGTGCGGTTCGCGCTGCGCGGGTGGTGCAACGGAGGGCGCGCGGAGGGCGTGGAGAAGCCGCCGAGGGAGCGGGCGGAATCGGCGGGGAAGGCCGAACTCGG